TTGTTTGGGTGTGTATGTGACTGTGCGCGATTATTTGGAACTCCTGCGTCAAAATTGTCACATCTAACCCTAACCCTAACCCTACCCCTAACCACGAAAATTTATCGGTCATTAAGTCATACAAATCTGCAGGAGTCACATCCGTGGCAACTAATTCCACTTTTATATAATGATATATTTACTTTAAAAAAACCCAGATTTACCCGACGCGTCAAATAAACACCCAGATCTAGGGGAAACACCCAAGCAGTGGCAGCCCTGTTGTCGACCTGACTGTCTTTTTTGACTCGTGACCTTTCCGCTCCGTGTTTGCAATGCAGCCAAGGGAGAGAACTTCCACTAAGCGATCGGCGGCTTTCCAGCTAACGGCCTGAGTTGACAGGAGAGCCTAACAGACTATTCCAAGTAAAAAAAAAATGCAATTTCATAATTTTTTGATGCCCTTCACTTTTTTTCTTTTAAACTAAATCACCCTCACCCGCCTTTTTCACCCCTAGGTTGAAAACTGCTACTCTATATCCATGTTTTGACTTGTCGTCCGCTGGTCACAAGCCGGTCCGTGGACACTTCTGGGCGATCCAATAAAAAGTACCCACCTCAGTCAGGATTTAATAAATAAAACCTTCTTTCTTTCTCGTCTGTATTGGCCGTCAGGCGGTCCGTGAATACAGTGCCCCCCACCCCCCCCCCCCCACAAAAAAGAATGTACCCTTTTAAAACTAAAAAGTAGTTTTATCCACCAGGCCAAACGGCTCGGCAGACAAACCACTGATTTACCTGCAACTGATAGATCCTTAAATGCTGTCCCAGAACGGACCCCCTGGAGAGAGGAGTATAAGTTTCCAATACACATCAAGACTGAAGTGAAAGGGGTATTTGACAAGGAAGAACAAAACAGTGTGCAGCGCAAAACAGCCACCCTCAGTTTACTTGATGATGAATACCCGCAGAACCTTTGGGTTCGTGTTTACACAGATGGGTCAGCAGAAAGCGCAGTCAGAAACGGAGGTGCGGGAGTGTACATTGAGTATCCTAATAATACCAGGGATACAGCCAAATTACCAACGGGAAAGCACTGTCACAACTATGATGCAGAAGTTCAAGCCATCAAGATAGCGGTAGAGAAACTACTAAATACAGGGTATTTTTCACAACCAGTGGTATTCCTGACAGATGCAAAAGCAGTACTTCAGTCACTCCAGTCTGGAAAATTACCAAGCATACGGACACTATTATCCGAACTAGGCAAACCGCTGTAAATTAGTAATGCAGTGGATACCTTCCCACTGTGGAGTTCCCGGAAACGAAAAAGCTGATAAACTAGCTAAGGAAGGTGCAACTGAAGAACAACCTGACATACCAGTCTCTTATCAACAGAAGAAGAGAATGATCAAATCAATCAGAATGCCACCGAAACTGGCACAAGATTATTACCATATTATGGACAGACCAGAGCAAGTTATTATCCTTCGCCTTAGAACAGGGCACAATAGACTTCGCTCCCACATGTACAACAAATTTAAGATTGGCCAATCGGCCATGTGTACTTGTGGACTGGCACCTGAAACAACAGATCACATCCTTCAAGACTGTCCCATATTCAACGCTTTCAGGCAAAACATTTGGCCAAAAGAGACACTTGTGGAAGTCAAACTTTACGGGCCGCTTAGTGAATTACAAAAGACAGTGAAATTCATACAAGAGACGGCTTTGCAGATATAGACAATTTATTTCATGCGAACGAAAGAAGAAGAAAAAAACTAAAAACCCCTCTCCCCCAATGTGATATTGGAATCTTGTATTTACCGAAAGTAAAGTAATATATCAAAGAAATTTTCATTCATTACAAAGATTCAATATGGGCAGCCTTCATTTATTAAAGTCCTTATATCTTTCTCTGTGTGTGTGTGTGTGTGTGTGTGTGTGTGTGTGTGTGTGTGTGTGTTACGGTGAATAACGTCCAGTTGTCTGTGTGTGCATTAGAGTGGATTAATTTCCAAATTTTAACTAACTAGATATTCCTTTCTGCACTTTTTTTTTAAAACACGGTCCAGTTTCTGACTGTAACTCCTCGTTCTGTCCCAAGGTTTTATTATTTATCCCCTAAGGCCCAAGCGCTGATTACTGCGCTCTTTCATTCCTAAACAATCCACACGCATTCCCTGGTTATTCCAAATGTAATGTAATGTTCACCCTGTGTGGGATCTGGGCTCTCATTGGAAAGGGGGGGGGGGACAAAAACAGACCCACTGCCTTCCTAGAAAACACGTTGAACGAGTAGACTAGCTGGGAGCTTCCCTCGAAGTCGGAGTGCAACTGCCTGAGAAGCAAGGAAGCAACAGTCTACATACAAATAAACCAGGTCTAGGAAACGGATGTGCACGCAACACTTAGGTTCTAGAGCAAGACTAAATTCTAGAGGTTTACGAACAGCCATAACTTTTCGCTGGAGTTTCCAGCCGGTGAACCAAAGGAGAAGAAGAAGAAGATTCAATGTTCTTGCTGTCTAGAATCCAAGCCAGGTATTTTTTCAACCACTTCATCTAAATTACTACTTTAACTACTGTCACATAGTGTGTCTTTTTAATTCCCTGAGGCTAAGTATTAATTGCTTGTAAACTAACCTTCTTAGAATAAATGGAGTTTAATAAATTGTGACTGAAAGGGTTAAAGTAACACCAGTTTGGTTCTCAAAGAGTTGAAGTCGGTTACCTCTCAGCTGATGCTATTAAGTTAAGCTCAATGAGCTAATTAAGCTAAGCACATTACTTCAGCTTTCACGTTTGCTAACGTTGAGTGTACTTTCGTTTGTAAGCGCCCCAGTTTTCTGATCTAACTTCCTGAACATTGGCTCTAGAGACAGTACCACAGCTGATAAATATATCATAGCGCCGACATAATGAAGTGGAATTACAAATCCCTTGGTGACATCAAATAGAGCAGCTGTGGAAAAGAATAACAAAAAACGCATGTTACAAATAAACACAACTGTTACTTAGTATTACTATGGGCAACATTATTTATTAAACTATACGACGGCTGTCTGGTTTTTAAAAAAAAGGAAGAACAATACAAGCTATATTTAATATGAAATAACGGTTTGCGCAATCTCTTTTGAGTCTTGAGTCCGAAGAAGCTCAGCACAGTACACAAGCTCTGTAGCACTGGCGAGGATTCTTAAATACTTTGGGTAGATTTTTAATTCAAAATTTTGCCCGGGCAGCGCGGTTAAGTTACTCTTTTCGATTTCCAACTACCAGAGGATTTTTGCGTGCGCAACAATGCACACGGGCGTCCGATCGCACTACCCAGAAACCAGGGGAAATTACTAGAAGTCCAAGAAAACAAATTCTAGCCCTTATCCGGGGTTTAACCCGGAACATGCAGCACTCGAGATGGACACCATGCCTCGAGACCACACAGCCCCCTGGCAATATTTCTAAAGTTTGGCACTCACATAGAGTAGCATGTCATGCACATACATGAGCAATGATGAAGTCGCTATACCCGTCAGGCTCACCGTCAAACGCCGGTTAGAACGTCGGTTAGTGAGCGTATAGTACTTTTGGCCTCTTTCATCAGTTTTTTTTTTTAATTTTAATTATTAAATACAGTTTCTCTTTGAAAGCCAAGTTTCCCCCAGTCCTTTGTTTTTCCATTTCAGTTCAAAACTGGTGGTTCTTTGATCACTCTCCTCGAGATGTGATAAATGTAATAACCTTTGCTTTCGACTTTCAGCCGAATACCTATATCCTGCAACAACACTTCTATGCGGATATGACTTCTATTCAAGCGTGTTATGGAGATTTTATAATATTAGTTATTATTATTGCTTATTTTTACAAGGCTTCGGCTCTTTGAAACCCCCAGCACACCGCCTCTAGAAAATCTAATGTTAAGGACACTGCCACCCTCCCCCCCCCCCCCAAACCCTCCAACAAGCACGTTGCAAGAGTTAACTAAGTAGGGATGTTTTCTGTGAAGTCGGAGTGCATCTGCCTGGGAGGTGAGAAACCAACAGTCTACAAACAAATAAGCCCTATCAGTGAAACGCATTGGCACGCAAAGCTCAGGTTTTGGAACAAGTCTAGAATACAGCAGTGGATGAACAACAGATATGTTCGCCGGAGTTTACATATGGTGAACACGAAGAAGAAGAAAAAGAAGAAGAAGGAGAAAAAGAAGAAGAAGAAGAAGAAGAAGAAGAAGAAGAAGAAGAAGAAGAAGAAGAAGAAGAAGAAGAAGAGAAGAAGAAGAAGAAGAAGAAGAAGAAGAAGAAGAAGAAGAAGAAGAAGAAGCAGAAGAAGAAGAAGAAGAAGAAGAAGAAGAAGAAGAAGAAGAAGAAGAAGAAGAAGAAGAAGAAGCAGAAGAAGAAGAAGAAGAAGAAGAAGAAAAAGAAGAAGAAGAAGAAGAAGAAGAAGAAGAAGAAGAAGAAGAAGAAGAAGAAGAAGAAGAAGAAGAAAGGAAAAAGGAATAATACTAATAATCATTGTGTTGTATACTGATGAAGGCTTTCTTGTCGCAAAGTTCGTTTTGTCATTGCGATTGCGGTATTGTGAGAGTATTTCTACTTCCCCTCTAGATTGATATTTTCTTCATGACACAATTTTTCTGTTTTATTATTGTATAAATTAGCCGTTTAAAAACCTATTACACAACATGTCAAACAGATATTTTGAATTAATATGGATATAGCCCAGTTTAAGGGGCTCCCGTGGCGTGGCGTCTAGATGATTGCCTGCGGATCCAAAGGGTGTGGGTTCAAATCCAAATAAAGCAGGATTTTTTTTAAAAACTGACTTTGGCTCAAAGGTCGACAACATTAAATAAGTGCCAGGTAAAGTCCAGGGAAGTAAAAACGACCGGCATGATATTGACCTCATCATCCACCCGGTCCCAAGTGGTCCATGATATGTAGGGCTAGCCCTATATACCCAGTACCCCTGAAGGCGGGGAAAGGGGCCTTTTATTTTACTTTACTATAGCTAATCTGGGCTTACCTACAATCGGATGGTTTATGGACAGCATCAAAGTGGCAAGAGTCGATGCCAAACCATAAGCCTTGGCCATCTTCTGGACACCCACGTAATCAATGAGCATTATGTTGAAGAAATTTTGCCGAATTCCTCCGAAGACACCAATCAGAATTGCATAGACAATGAATGTCGTGTAATTTGTGAAGAAGCGAATTGTGTGGCATACTGTTCCAAGAACAAGTAGGCTGAACGTGACTAACTGTAGAAGAAAAAAAAAAGGACAAAACGTGAGGGAAAGAAAAACCTTATTTTTGTTAAAATGTCAATGTATTTTATCTGTAGCGTTAACTCGGGATGTTAGGGCTTCTTTGTGTGTTTACCAACCATTTTCTGTTGGTAGGTAAAATCAAGTTTAAACTTAGGAGATATATAACGTCTCATCATCATAGAAACTAGTATAATGTAGGTTATCTCAGGGATAAAGAAGTTAAGGAATAGGTTTCAATTACTGTTTTTAAAAGTGCAAGGTGTTGCAGCAGTTAACTGAAGTCTACTGGGATCAGATAACGGGAATTTGAAATGAATCTTGTGTAGAATTCCTTGTAAGAAACAACGGAAACATAAAAAGTGGATAACGCTAGAAACCGTTAAAATGATCGAAGTAATGAAAAGTAAAAAGGTAGAATTATACAATAGCAAAACGAGAGCTGCTAAAGCTAGAGCTCATGAAAAATACACAGAAGCTAAAGAGGAAGTTGGGAGGCAAATAAGGGCAGATAAAAGGGAATATTTAGATGATATAGCACGAGATGCGGCGTCATCTGCAGCAAAAGGAAACCTTACCTTTACGGTAACACAAGAAAATTAGTAGGTAAATATAGTCAGACAACTGGATCAATCAAAAACAGCCAAGGAAAGCTACTCTCCACACAAAAGATCAAATGGACAGATAGGTTGAATATTTTGATTTACTTCTGAAGAGACTAGCCCCAGAGGTTCCTCCAGATATCCAACTTTTGGAAATATAGGTTTGGATATCAACTGTGACCATCTAAAGAGGAAATTACGAAAGCTATTAATCTTCCGAAGGACGGAAAGGCGGCAGGTCCATATGGTATCCCAACAGACGTTATTAAGACCAATATAAAAACATGTAAAAACAAAAAAAAGCTACAAAAATTATTTAGTAAAGAACGAAGAAATACCAGCATACATATCGTGTTAAACTGCTCGAAAAAGGTGATCCGCAGGAGAGGAATTATGTTGCTGTCAATTCTAAGCAAAAAATATTATGTAGGATTATTTTGGAAATACTAAAAAAGCTTAGAGGTTAGCAGGCAATTTTGTTTGTTGGCAAAGCAGATCCTGTACTGACCAGATAGCCACATTACGTATAATAATATTGCAAAGCATTACATACAATTCCCCACTTCACATTGGATTCCTAGACTATGAAACAGCTTTTCGAAGCATTGATAAGTAGCCCCTCTGAAAATTAACAGGACACTTTGGAATCCCCCAGAAAATTATTAACTCAGTAACGGCAACATAATGAAGTATCGAGTTCTTCGTAAGGAAAAGCTAACGGATATATTTACATTATAAAGACAGAAATTGCTAACACTGGTAATGGAATTCAGTGGACCCCTATAAAACAACCTTCTGATCTGGATTTTTCTTATTATATTTCTTTCCTGTCCCATTCACGAAATCAAATGCAAAATAAATTACACATACTTGATGTAAGATCATTACAGCTAGCTCTGAAAATCCCCAAGTGAAAGACAAAGATAATGAGAATAAATCAAAACAGTAATGTAGTTTTGTTTAATGGTCTCCCACTCCAAGACGTGGAGTCGTACACCTTTTGAGGCACTAGAGTAGACAAAGATGGGTGGGGGGGGGGGGAACTTATAGAGATTTTAGAATAATTATACAAGAGGCAAGATGAGATTTCATAGCACAAGGAAATTTTTGGAAGTCGAAAGAAATTAAGATTAATACTTAACTTAAATTTTTTTTTAAATTCTAATGTCAAATTAGTACTGTAGTATGGAACGGAAACGTGAAAAACAACTAATGCAGTTACTTAAAACAAAAAACAAAAAACAAAAAAAAAAAATACAAACATTCATTAACTAGTGCCTGCACAGAACAGAGGGGATTAAACTGTATGACAGAATCACCAATGTAGAGCTTCAGGAGAGAACTAAACAAGTTTCAGTGGACCTAAAGGTGAAGAAAATGACGCTGGCATTAGATAGGACACATGGAGAGAAAACATGAGAACAAAATAACTAGAATGTCTTTGCACTGGAACCCACAAATATCTTTACACTGGAATCCACAGTGGCACAGAAATCAAGGAAGACCGAAAAACACACGAAGAAAGGAGCAACAGAGTAAAGTTAAAAAGACGGAGAGGACATGGGAAGAGCTGCATGCAATAGCGAAGTATAGAATGACTTGGCGTGAGTTGGTTGAGGGCCTATGCTCCAGCTGGGGATAGAAGGCAGAATAAATTATACCTCCACAATAGAAAACATTTTTTACAAGTTTCATTCCCTGAAAGCCACAACTGCAATGACAATCTGGGTAATACGACTGGATAGATAATATTTGTGGCTTTCAGATGGTATTACGAGAGTCGCACGGTGGACGAGATTGAAGCCTCACAACAGAATATTCCCAAATACAGCAAAGATACATGTGCACAGTGAACACGGGACGAAGAAAATCTCTCTGGGTATTTATTTGTATTTCATATCTCCTCCTTTCCGTCTTAAATAGTCAAAATCACTCTCTTTCTCATCTCTCTCCCCTTTCCCCTCTCATTTCCTTTCTTTATAAGGGCTTCTCCCTCACACAAAGCTTAAAACACAGTAGATCAGGAGTGTACGTATCGCCTTTACCCTAGGAAAGAATAACTTTGTCTGAAACTTTTCAAAAAGTAACATACTGGGCATTTAGGCCCGTGTTATATCCGGCCCTTCCAGACATTCCTCTTTCACACCACAATTATATTACATCTAGAAACATGTTAAGTTATTAAAGATGTATACACCAAAAGAAACAATTAAAAGCAACAACAAAAAAGCAGATACAGTATAAGCACATATTTAAATATACATACACGCATATGAGAAGCAAGCTCCTGAAACACTAAACCAAAGACATCCGTTTTTCTGCCTGTACCTCAAAAGTTTCGGCTCTGTGGCTAAGTCGATGCGAACGCTTCGTAATGCCGGGGTGCTGAGTTCGATCCCAGCTGCGGACCATGCGCTTTGCGTTGATTTCGACAGTGGTATCAAGAAAGCCGACCGTCAAGTGAGCAATGGCAAACTACTCGATTAAATTTGCCTAGAAAAACCACACAACAGCCAGGGGCTGTGGGGTTGGTTCTGCAACGTCCTGTGAAGGATACGCAACTAACCAACAACCTCAAATGGAGGGGGTTCTCCCACATGATTTTGACGCTTTTCCTAATGGCTTGCCGCCTGCAGGATGTTTTACATAAGGTACACACTCTGAAGCTTCACCGACAATGCACAGGAAACTCAACTGCACTCGTAACTAAACAACACAATCCTTGAGACAAATCTACGACGTTCAGAGAGCAAAACAAAGTTCAACACTTAGCCACCAAGGCCTTACTTCCAGCTCCCCTTTTTTATTCCCCGTTCTCCCAGTCGTAGATCTGCCAGGTGGCATCATGTCTCAGTGGCGAAGTGGCCAAGCCGTTGCCTTGCGCTCTAAAAGTCATGAGTTCGTTTCCCGGCTGTGAAGTTTAGTTCACGAGTGCAATTTTTACGGAGGACACTGTGGGTCGTCGCCGGAGCTACGGAAATAGTGCTATGTGGGATGCTCTCGGCAGGCGTTCTGCGGAGAGAGACCGAGCTATACGACATTAAACCCGGTGCAGTGAAGTCAGCCCTCTCGAGTTTAACGGATTCAACACATTTCTTGACGTGGAGGCTGTCCTCGTGTATAGGCGACATGTTGATTTCCAGTATGGTAATTATAGATTTCTGAGATATGTCTGGGCAACCACTAGTAACAACAGTTTTAAGACAGAGAAGATGCCTCTATACTCGACTATACTGAGACGAAACAAGCAGGCTCTAAAATGAGAAATAAAAGAATTGAGAAAGCGAGGACGCCCAAAAGAAACCCTAAAACGGACGTTGATGACAGAAGCGAACGCCGCTGGACTGCTTTCCATCCACGATATTAAAACGATTGCACCAGATACAAGGGAGTAGAGGAAAAGACAAGAAGCCCTATAAGGCATATTTTGGCACAACAGAACGTCGAGGATGGTGATGCTTGTTTCCTCATATTCCTAGTTTATCAGTGCTTTATTAATATCCTACCCCAAACAGGGGAAATCCACAGGTCAGGGGACAATCTAATATTTCAGGGGTTGGTATATAGGTTGCATGCAGTCGTGGGACCTAGGCTGCCTGAAGTCGTGCAACCCAGGCCATACTTTCTCGTGGGTCGTAGGTGGGTTGGGGTTAGAGCCAGTTTTAGATGTTTTCGGGTCATTAAAACCACTAGAAAGCCCGGAAACCCAGTCTTACAACCCTCTAAAATGTTAGACTATCTTGTGACATCATCAGGGCGGTAGGATAATAATAAAGCACTGTTTTTGTCTACGAGAGTCACGCAATACATGATTATGGGCATACCTTTGGCTTTGACACAAACTTGAAGTCTCCAATAAACCCCGTGATGACCCGCGTCACTAGGTCCATTACTCCGCTCATGGTCATCAAGATGGCGGCGTCGGCCTTGCTGATCTGAATGGTGGAGCAGATGACCGGCATGTAGATAATCGTGTATTGGGCGAAGACAGACAGTAGTATGAAAACCATCATCATTCGGAACCTCCAGATCTAGTAGAAGACGGGAATAGTTGACATGTTTGCCATTGCAGGCAAGATTTCAAAACTTAACTATAATTTTCAGTTCTGAAAACATTAACAATAAAACAACGATTCTTCTTCGTCTTTCCCTCCTCCTCCACCACCTCTCATTCTTTACCCCTCCTTCTTCTCTTCTTCTTCTTTTTTTTCTACTACTGCTACTACTACTACTACTACTACTACTACTACTACTACTACTACTACTACTACTACTACTACTACTACTACTACTACTACTACTACTACTACTACTACTTCTACTACTACTTTACTACTACTACTACTACTTCTACTTCTGCTGCTGCTGCAGCTAATGCTACTACTTTCATACTTCTTTTTCTTCTTCTTCTTCTTCTTCTTCTTCTTCTTCTTCTTCTTCTTCTTCTTCTTCTTCTTCTTCCTCTTCCTATTCTTCATCTTTAAGTTTTTCACTCATACCATGAAAGTTATGACGTCTGATCCACTACCCAAGAATGGAGGAAGAGAGGGGCATTTTTTTCGCATCATAGAGCACTTGCATTTGATTCTAGACCCTTACAGTTTATAGACCAGTCGACATTTAGTGGGTTAAGTGGTAACTATTACACCAGCCGTCTTACTTTCTTGTACGGTTGGTTAGAACAATCGGTTCTTTATCAATATCTTACCCCAGATGACTTCACTGGATAGTCCAAAATTGTATAGGTTGGTAAGACTGGGTTTTCCGGCTTTCTGATGCTTTTGACGACCCCAAAACATCTAGAACTGACCCTAACCCCAACCCACCTACGTCCCACAAGAGAGGGCAGCCTAGGTCCCACGACTGTATGCAGCCTATCTATCACTCCTTGAAATATCAGCCTGTCACGTGACCTGTGGAATTCCCCATATTTAGGGTGGGATAATAATAAAGCACCGAAAAATCTGCCTTGATATAGGTTTAGCCACTCGCTACCCCGGTGTGATATCTCTATTGAAAGAAAAAGACTTAACCCAGTCAATACATTTGAATATCTGGGAACAATCATATCATCAGATGTAAAATGTGTGACAGAGATTAAAAGCAAAATAGGTCAAGCCAAAGATGCAATTTAGAAAATAACCCCCCCCCCCCCCCCCCCCCCCCCCCCCCCCCCCGTGTGGTTTACGGGGCCCTATTGTGGGGAAAACAAGAAAAGACCCACTGCCTCCCCAAAAGCATGTCGTAAGAGTTGACAAACTGGGGAGCTTTCTTTGAAGTCTGAGTGTATCTGCCTGAGAGGTAAGGAACCAGCAGTCTGCATTCAATTGAATCAGATCTGTAAAACTGATGCACACGCAACACTCAGGTTCTGGAGCAGGACTGCAGTCCAGAAGTGGACAAACAACCAGAACTTTACGCCAGAGTGTACAGTTGGTGAACGCGAAGAAGAAGAAGATTCAATGTCAGAAAAAGGGTTCTAACATTTTTACATAGAACCCGTTCTGCTGTATGGCAGCGAATATTGCAATGTCACTGAACAAATTAAGATGAATTTGGAAGCAACAGAGATGTGGTTTCTGAGACGAATGTTACGAATGCCTTGGACGGCAACAGTGACTAAAAACGATTGCTTGAAAAATGCTAATGAAAGTAATTATGTACATACAACAATAAGAAAAAGACAAACATTGTTCTTTGGTCACATAATGAAAAGAGAGACATTGGAGAATATCGGGACAACTGAAAGGATCAATGGAAAAAGGGATAGAGGCAGACCAAGAGAGACCATGCTGGATGGCCTGAAACGATTGCCTGGATGGATGTCATCAAGAGAGCTGTTCCAGGCAACCAGGGAACGTGATCTGAGGAGACGCATGAGCGCCTACGCCAGTTGGCAGGGCACATGATGATGATGATGATGATGATAATGTTGTGTCTAAGTACCCATGGACGTGTTCGGGGTACCATGATGATAAGGTAGCTCATAATTAGACAAAACATTTTACCTTAAACAAAGAGACGTCGATAAAAGTGGTCAACAGCCTGGAACATATGGATCTTTTCGGCTTCTTGCTGAGCACCTGTTCTGTTTCTTCTTCGTCTACTTCTTCATCAATTGTTTCAGGGGCAATGTACGCCAACTCAGTCATACTAATGGCACTTAGCTGGCTTGCCTGGCGCTCAAAGTCTATGCTCCTTTTCCTCGCTTGCCTCCTGGCATCAACGTTATCCCGTGACCGAACTAATGAGCTGTCCCCGTCTTTGAGGTTGGTGAACTGAATTGGTGAGCTACCCGACGTATAAGAAATTTCTACTGAAGAGGGGCCATCTTCGTGTTGTAGTTTACTATAGCTTGAATCAGAAAGCAAGCGATCTCTGTAAATATCGTTAACTTGATTTAGTAATGTCTCGTCTTCTTTTGCTTTGTCATCAATATTTTCGTCAGTCTGTGACGGTGATATGTCTTTACTTGTTGTAGAATTACTTCTGGGGCCTGTGTAAGTCTGGGATAATTGAAACTGTTGCTCATCCTTTAGAAGTTTTTGTTTCTGTCTCAATTTATAGACTCTCCTGCAGATAAAGAAAAGTAAGCAAATGTCAAACATGTTTTTCTAAGAGAACAGATACAGAAGACTAATTAATAAGCATAACCAGGAGAAATGAATTGATGGATGTAAAAGTAAAGTAAAGGACCCTTTTCCACGCCTTTGGCCGTATAGGGCATATAGGGCTAGACCTATATTTTTATAGACCAATCGGCACAAGATGGATGATGTGCTCAGAATCACGACGCCGCCTCTACTTCCCGGGACTGCACCCGGTACCCACTTAAGGCTGGGACGACCTGGGAGCCAAGGTCATTTTTGAAAAAAAGTCCGGCTCCTCCAGGGAGCGAATCCACGACCTTTTAGCCACTCCGCCACAGGGACTCCCATTGATGAATGAATAAATGAATAAAGTATTGACGTCATTGTATTCGGGACATTTACCCTTTGACGTTTAGGTTAGACTTGAAGTTGAAGCCAAGAGGATTGATTTCATTGCACCAGGTTTGATCCCATATGGCTCGGTCTCTCTCTGCAGAATGGATAGCCGACTACCTAGAGCGACGCGCAAAGCATGGATGCAGTAGCTTCGGCAACGATCACTACTAGTCTTCTTAAAAATTGCACACGTGAACCAAACGACGCAGCCGTGAAGCGAAGCCACGACCCTCAGAACGAGAGGCAAACGCTGTAAAACTTTGTTACAGAGACCTTAATTTACCCTGTATCATGAGCCAACGAAAAGTTCACATATTGATGGTACCAGTTTTAACCAAGAGAAATACATATTTGCAAAGTAAACCAACTTGTTAACTCTGTATGTGCGAATAAAGCAAACTGTATGATATAAAACAATCTTCGTTATGCAGAGGATACAGTATTATTAGCTGAAAATGCAGAAGACCTACAACTATTAGACATTGTTCTACTAGAGAGCGCTCGTAAAAAGGGACTCTTCTTGAATGAATATCAGGAAAGCACAAATAATGGTTATATCAAAGAAGAAGATATCTTCAAAATGTGACACAGAAACAGAAGGGAAAGTCCTTAACCAAGTCAATAAATTCAAGTATTTAGGAACATTCATCACATCAAATGGACGATGTGTGACAGAAATTAACAAGCAGAATTGGCCAGGCAAAGAGAGCTTTTCAGAAGAAAAGTATTTTGTATAATAAATCTTCATCATTAAACTTCAGAAAGCGGGCATTAAAATGTTATATCGAACCCGTTCTGTTGTCTGGTAGTGAATCTTGGAATTTGAGCAAACAAATTAAGAAAAGTTAGGAGGCAGCTGAAATGTGGTCTTGAGAAAAATTATGAGAATACCTTGGACTGCCAGAAAAACGAACATTGAATTAATATAAATGGCTGATGAACGTAGAATATTATATACACCAATAACAAGGAGACAAAGTTCTTTTGTCGTGTGATGAGACAGGGAGGACTTGGAAATATAGTGAGGACTGGAAAAATCACTGTTAAAAGAGGCAGACCAAGAGAAATTATGGTTGAATACTTAAGACCGTGGTATTAAAGGAATATCATAAGTGAAATTGGTCTAGAACACCAAAGACCGAGATCTGTGGCGACACATGAACGCCTCGGTCAGCTGGCAAGGCACTTGATGCTGATGATGATGATGATGATTTATCAGATAGTTTTATGATGACAATTCAATCAATTAATCATGCATTAGGAATTTGTACACAGCTGACTTTAAAAAAAAAATCAAGAAATGGAAATTTGTTTTCGATTTACTGTAAATCATTAGGTAAAATACCGATAAGCGTGTGAAATCAAAGTCGGCCATACCTCCCTATCGCTGTTTTGGGAAAATTGGGAAGTGAGGAATTTGATCCATCGGATCCAACTGCCTTGTTATGCTGTCACCTAGAAGATGTGTCGGACAAACACTACAAATCCAGCTGAAGTATCCTCTATGGCAATAGTTCTCAACCTTAAAAATACAGTTCCTCATGTTGTGGCGACCCCACAACCACACAGTTATTTCGTTGCTACTTCATCACTTCTTGTGAATGTGTTTTTTGCGATGGTCTTCGGCAACCCCTGTGAAAGGGTCGTTCGACTAACAAACAAAAAAAAGGGTTATGAGCCTTGGGTTGAGAACCACTACTCTATGTGCTAGAATTAATAAGTTTAATGGAAAAAAAAAATGCTTAAATTTTTTTATAAATCACTGATCTGTGAAAAAAAATCTGTCTACGCCTGTATCGCCTCGGACATGTCATATGAAATGATACTGGACTCAACGTTTTTGGACGAGATTGCACTCGATATGTGATGTGGTCAACATCGCGCCGGCCTCTTTTACTTCCAAGGATAGTACTGGTACCGAATTTGTTCTGGGTTTAACTGGGAGTCTACGTTAAATATATAACTTTGCCTCAGTGCAATTTGATTCGGAATAAAAGCGCCAAGCTGCTGTATCAGATGCATTAAAAAAATGTTCTTCTTCTTTTTTTTTCCTTCTTTTTCTTGTTTTCTTCTTCTTCTTCTTTTTTTTTCTTGTTTTCTTCTTCTTCTTCTTCTTCTTCTTCTTCTTCTTCTTCTTCTTCTTCTTCTTCTTCTTCTTCTTCTTCTTCTTCTTCTTCTTCTTCTTCTTCTTCTTCTTCTTCTTCTTCTTCTTCTTCTTCTTCTTCTTCTTCTTCTTCTTCTTCTTCTTCTTCTTCTTCTTCTTCTTCTTCTTCTTCTTCTTCTTCTTCTTCTTCTTCTTCTTCTTCTTCTTCTTCTTCTTCTTCTTCTTCTTCTTCTTTCTTCTTCTTCTTCTTCTTCTTCTTCTTCTTCTTCTTCTTCTTCTTCTTCTTTCTTCTTCTTCTTCTTCTTCTTCTTCTTCTTCTTCTTCTTCTTCTTTCTTCTTCTTCTTCTTCTTCTTCTTCTTCTTCTTCTTCTTCTTCTTCTTCTTCTTCTTCTTCTTCTTTCTTCTTTCGTTTTCTTCTTCTTCTTCTTCTTCTTCTTCTTCTTCTTCTTCTTCTTCTTCTTCTTCTTCTTCTTCTTCTTCTTCTTCTTCTTCTTCTTCTTCTTCTTCTTCTTCTTCTTCTTCTTCTTCTACTTCTTCTTCTTCTTCTTCTTTTTCTTCTTCTTCGATCCTTCTGTCATAAAACTTATACGAAGAGGCCGGTAACTTTTATAAAAGCTTTTGTACAGGCCATATTCTCTCGTGTACCATACTTTTGTGTCTTGTTTGTGGTTGGAACAGGTTAGATTACGACTCTGTTGTCAGCACATGCTCAGCATTTTTAGACAATACTGATTCGAACCAAACCCTACCAGTCTTCAGGCAAGCGATTAGTGTTAAACACAATGAAATCAAACTCGTTGCTATCGTGACAATGACTCACTTGTAACTCTCAACCGGACGCAAGAGCAGACCACACGCCAGCATGTGCAGTTCTATGGCCGCAATGACCAGGAAACTTCCTCGCATCCCAAACTGCATGCTAAAAATATAAACTTATAGGATTATCCATTACTGGTTGGCATCAGGTTGCTTAAGACTGACTTTCAATGTATAATTAACAATTTCACCGAGTGTCATTACGTAAATTACTGGAAAAGCTAGAAAGTAAAGTAACTGACTTTTCCACATCTTCAGGCGTATAGGGCATTTAGGGCATTTAGGGCTAGACCTATAGTTTATAGACCAATCGGCACACGAACATAACTCCCACCCCCCCCCCCCCCCCCCCCTCCCGCTTCCGTTTTCATGGTTGTATCGTCCGTTTGTGTCATGTGCTGATGAAAGCTTTCTATTTGAAACGTTTATTTGTCGTTCGTGATTATAATAATATAAAGCTTGCTAGTTATACTTCTATTATGGACTGAAATCTTTACCTGGTAATAACACAGTAGGTATGTACAAGACAGGTATTGACATTTCACATCTCGAAAAGAGGCATATCTGGAGGTTTTCATTCCAGTCATCGAAAGCACAGTTGCCTCACTCCTTCATGCAAAGTACACAAATAAAAGCCTCGCCATGAAGAAATCGTCGGGGAGGAAAAGAAAGGGGTGCCGCTAATTCCGCATACATTGTTTTAGCTAGCTGGGGACCTCAGGGGCATTAGGCCTTGTTTTAGTACGCAATAACAATACACATGTGCCTGGTGATAAATAAATATTATGATAAAAATGAAATTATATGTTAAGAACAAACAAATGTTTTCAAGATAATTTCTATACATGGTTGAAGGGAGCCGCGTAGTTCCGATATAAAATATTCAGGGTGGTGGAGGGAGTGGTAAAGGATGTGAGTGCTGAGCGACTAGATTCCAGCCTCTGTGTGGTTAATATTGTGAACATTACCTACTGTTAATATTTTTATTATTAATGTTACCTTTCGCTTCTTACCGAGGCATAATAACTGAACCATCTGTTCTTCTATATGCCCATATGTACCACTGACAGTCTCTTGGACACGTGACTTCCGAATTTTCATTCTAGCATGGTTTTAATAATAACAACACGCCTTTAAATGGGACCACAATAGGTCTCAATCTTGTGCCTTTTGAACCCCAGTGGAGCATAAGCCTTCACCCAAATCCTGCCAAGTCCATTGCATGCAGCTCTTCCCGTGTCCTCCCAGTCTTAACTTCACTCTCTAGCTCTCTTCTCCATGTCCTTTTTTTTGGGGTTGTCCTTTTTTTTCTATTCCCCTGGGGGTTCCAGTGGAAAGACATTCTAGTTATATTGTTCTCATGTTTTCTCACCGTGTGTCCTATCCAACACCAGCGTCTTTTCTTCACCTCTTGGTCCATTGGAACTTGTTTAGTTCACACCCAAAGCTCTTTATTAGTGATTCTATCATGCCATTTAATTAGTTCGTAATGCATTTAATACTTTTTTGAACCAATGCACAAATAAGGCAAGAATCCAGGCAAGAGTATGTGTCTAATTTTATACGAAAACGCCGTGGAACTATGTCGGCCACGCCCTTAAAATGGATAAATCAAGACTTCCTTACCAAGCCCTCATTTGGACACCACAGGGGAAAAGATCTCGTGGAAGACCAAGGGAAACCCTACGTAGAACTATCATCAGGGAAGGCTCGCTCATGGGCCACTCAAACATCCAAGACCTACAACAGATTGCAACGAACCGTCATGCATGGAGAGTCACGACCTCTGCCCTATGTGCCGCACTCGACACAAGAGGAAAGACTAACTAACTAACTAACACTTTTTTCCTGAAATAATATTCTCTGTATGAGAATTTCTGTTTTCAAACGGCTTGAAGAAACTAGCTTACCGAAGACTTTCCGTAATTGGTGGAAACAGTATAAAGGCCACACACATTCCAGCTGTAGCAATTGATGATGCAAAAGATCGTCGCTTTTTGAAATAGAAGCCAATCAGTGACATTGGCGCCACAAGCAGCATTCCAAAACAAACACCTGAAATTCAAATATGGTATTAGTAAATTATGCTTATCACTTTTTTTTTAAAACAAAGGAACGAAATGTTCTTCCTCTTCTTCTCTTACTGTTCCTGCTGATTGATTTATTGATCTTTTTTTTCTTATTTTTCTTCTTGTTTCTTGTTTTGATTTTCTTGTTGTTGTTATTGTTGTCTTTCTTATTCTTCGTGTTCTTCTTCTTGTTTTTCTTTGTTTTCTTGTTCTTGTTTTGGTTTTCTTCTTGTTGTTGTTCTTATTTTTCTTGTTCTTTTTCTTGTTCTTGTTCGTGTTGTTGTTGGTGTTGTTGTTGGTGTTGTTGTTGTTGTTGTTGTTGTTGTTGTTGTTTTCTTCTTCTTTTTCTTCCTATTCTTCTTCTTCTTTTTCCAGCGCAGCATAGACCCTCAGTTCGCTCCACCCCAACCCTCAGTGGCCTCTTGAAACATGCTTAATGAAATGCACTGGTTGTTCTAAAGGTCTAGATAACACATGAGCACTAATTATATTATAGAACGAGTTTTATTTCCTCCTTGTAATCTCGTTTGCTTACCTTTGAAAACAAACAGCAGCAAAAAGACAACAATGTTGGGTGCTAGGGACAAGCAGGCGGAAAACACAGCATTGAGAGCAGCAGCGACTGTACAGATAGTTCTCACTCCGACTTTGTTCATGATCACACTACTGGTAACGATGGCTGTCGTGGAAGAAACAAACAAAAACAATGTTTATTTTTATTTAATAATGAAGAAGAAAAAGCATGACATACTAATGTGCCTGTGAGTTTTATCACTTACTTCCTGTGTCTGAGTATAAACGTAGTTCCATAAATTCTACACTCAGCATTCAAGTCAGCTGCAAGCGAATTTGGCAGCAGAACGCTCTGTGTTGATGTTGACAGCAGTATGAATGTCAAATACAGTTAAAAGAGATGAAGCCTGGTTACGCATTTTTAAAGGAAACGTGTGCTCAGAATCTTCTTGAGCCTTGTGTACTATAAGCAGAACAGACACGCTAGAAGATATATTTACCGTACGGTCGTATTGAGCAGTGTGCCTCACTTACTGTTTCCTCAAGTACCAGCTTAACTATCTCGCCAGTAGCTTCTCCTATATGAAGAATTGTGTCCCATTTGGATCTAAATCAGGCAGTAGTGTCCCATAATCCTAAGTAATCTGCAAGATCTTTGTTGATTAAAACTTACTCCCGTTTCCTTTATTTACAGAATGACGCTTACTAACCACTATTGATTGGTTTTACTTTGCAATTTTACCTAACCCTTGACCAGTTAGAGTCGTGGAGGTGTACTGATGGAAGCACTAGCGCAAAAAACCTGCTATCTTTCTCTATCTTCCGCTTGATGAATAAGTGTATGATAACTTAGTCCTGTCCATTTCTTCGTTGCCCTCTTCTTCTTTGATACTCCCCACCCCTCCCCAAATCCAGTGTTCCTTGATGCACAGTCTTTGCAGTCGAATCATGTCTCACTACGTGCCCAAATAAAGCTAGCTTGCGACGTTTCACCACTGCCAACAAAGGCTCCTAATGTCCTGCAAATTTGTATATTTGTAAATATAAATCCATAACACATTTCAGTGGGCAAACGGCTTGCTTGGTGGTGCCCATCACCTCTCGAAGTTTGTTATTACTTACTTCTTTCTTTTTTTTCTGTTGTAGTCTCACTTGTATAAGCATCTCAACCATTGCAGTGGTTTTCTGTACTTGTCTTGCGCTTCTCGGATGGGTTTAGTGATGGACTTGTTAATTATTTTTTTTTTGCAAGTTTCTGCTACATTATTTATCCATCTCTTTCGTGGTCTTCCTCTGGCCTTCCTTCCAGATGCTCCGCTGTTTAAAAAAAAAAAAAACCTCACAGTCTTATTCTTCAGCAATCCGATTCTTTAAGGTACATTGCTGCAGATATCACCTGGCTCCATTCATCTCTGTGACTGGATTTATCTTTCCAGCTAAGACTCCAAGCGTGTGTAGGTTTGTCTGGATATTATCTCCCCATCCACTTCTTGATATACCTCATGGTCTACGACTAATCAACTCCTTTGAGTACACTGTGCGTGCTCCATTGTCATCTGTCATTCTCTCTTTATGCTCCAGTCTTTTCAGTCTATTGTCGACAATCAGTGGTGGTTTAAACATTAATTTTTCCTCCGAAGTCGGAGTACATCTGCCGGAGAGGCGGGGAACGAGAACTGCAAACAAATTAGCCAGTAAAACGGATGTACACGCAAAACTCAGGTCAAGGTAAAAGCCAAAAGTCCATTTTGGACGAACAACCGCGACTTACCGCCGGAATTCACAGCCGGTGAACAAGAAGAAGAAGAAGAAGAAACATTAATTTCGTTTTTACTTCACACTCTCTGTTCTCTTCTGTTTGCATCAATGATGGATCCAGAGCTACGTTATTAGACTTTGTTATCAAATGTTTATAAGAAAAGACTTCATATCTTAGTTATGCTCCAGGTTTCAGAGCGAAATAACATAATTGATCTTATTGTGTTTAATATATTGTTTTCTTGTGATAGGAGAATAAAGGATCACTATCATTTGCAAAAAAAAATAAAACCTACAGAGGTTATAGTTGGTTAAGTCCGGCTCGCTAGCTCAATTGATTAAACCTGACTGTGCGGCGACAGGGTGACTAACTCCTTGTTGTCTGGGTTGGCACCCGAGGGTAAGCAGAAAAGCCACATTTACGGTACCTATCATGGAATCAAGGCTAAAGGGTTGCGATATCCATAGTACAGAGCCAACGGAATAACAATTCATGGTTTCAGGATATTTAAAAAAAAAAAACGTTGGTTAAACATATAGGTAAAGAGTGTTAGGAAATGTGTGTAACTTACAGGATATGCTGCCAAACAAAGAATGGACAGTAAACATGAGAGATACTGTGGTGGCTTTCTCCTGGAACTCTTCGGAGATGTCCACAAACAGCACAGACAGACTCCGGATGAAACCGATTATTATGGTCATTATTGTAAAAACACCTGTGTATTTAAAAAAAAAGATATTTACTGCAACATAATTAATATTTTATAGACATATATTTAGATTTACACCCCCTCCCCCAACCCAATCACCGAATCGAAATATGTAGCTGTTTGGGGGGGGGGGCACTTTGTGCGATCACTGCAGACTTTTTCTTCTTCTTCTTTCGTTCGCCTGAGGTAATTTATCTATATCAGCAATTTTGTCTCCTGTATAAATTTCACTGTCGTTGTTAGTTTATTCAGTGGTCCATAGAGTTTACGTTCCATTGTTGTTCTTTCTGGCCAAACGGTTTGCCTTAATGTGTCAAATTCGGTGCAGTCCTGGAGTACATGCTCTGCTGTCTGGGGCACCTTTCCACAGGTGCATATGGCTGATAGGCTCATCTGAATTTTTTTTTTCACTGCAGACATGGACAGCCCTGAAAGAAGAAAAAAACATAAACGAAAAATTACAGAAGGTGAGAGAAAATAAATTTTAAAAAAAAATGGATGTTAAGGAAACACTGGACGTAACATCACGGCACACGGGTAATAGCATATAAGTGCTCCGTTTTTCTTCTAACTCAATTCTGAGTCCGAAGAAGCTCAGCACAGTGCAAACTGTAGTACCGGCGAGGATCCTGAAATACTTTGTGTAGATTTTAAACAGGAAATGTTGCCCTGGCAGTGCAGTTATGCTACTCTTTTCGATTTCGAAGCAGCAAAAATAATCCAGTCGTAAGCATAATAAATTGTAGAGTTTTAAAATCAATGTACGTATTTTCAATTATAATGGTATTTCTGTTCTAACATATGTCGGTAAAGGTTAGAGAACTGCTCATGACATAGAACGAAGGTTAACTTTATTTGAAAACGAATTCAAGAGGTTATTGTTGAATTAAAAAAAATGGTATTAATTTAAGGGGAGTGAAGAAATAAGAGAAATGGCTGGATAATCATTGGTAACAACAGTTATAAGACACCTCCAGAGAAGAAACGAGCAGAGTATCATCAAACAGGCACTAAAATGGGAAAATAAAGATACAGAGGACGCTAAGGTGCCAAACAAAACACACACAAAAAAGGAAAAAAAAAACTAAATATAAATTTGTATGCGAGAAGCGAATGCTGCTGGGCTGGATTGCACAAGAACGGACTGGAAAAATTCAAGGCATTTGGTTTCCATTTAGGACCCTGAGCCCCAGTACAAAAAGTAAAGGACCCTTTTCCACGCTTTCATGTGAATAGGGCATATAGGGCTAGACCTATACTTGTATGGACCAATCGGCACAAGATGTGTGATGTGGTCAACCTCTACTTGCCCGGACTGCACACGGTACCCACTCAAGGCTGGGTCGACCTGGGAGCCAAGGTCATTTTTGAAAAAAGGTGTGGCTCCGCCAGGGAGCGAGCCCACGACCTTCCGATCCGCGGAGAGCGTCTAGCTGGTCCGCCACGGGGACTCCCCTCGTGGGCCCTTTGTGACACATAATGGCACAACTACAATGCATGAAAAAGAGAGAGAAATGTTGGTTGTGGGTCACTACTCCTTTGAGAGACGGGAGACACCCCCCCCCCCTCCCCCAACCGCAGCCCGACCCTCTCACATAATAATTTACATTTGTCGTGCTGTATCATGAACCAGTATCCTCTTAATATTTTTTTTTCCCTCAGGTGCGAAGTTTCAGTGCCCATCTGTTGAAGGATATTCTAAGAGTTATTCTGCAAAAAAAGATGAAATTTAGTCAGTCGATCTCTCAAAAACATAAACTTTTCTTTTCTTTTGCGGAAGTTCTGAATAACTACATAACTGGTGCATCTAAGATGGGAATGCCCCGGGTGCTGTGATATCGGTTCTTAAATCAAATCAAATCAACTGGTGCAACTAAGGTATCTCAACGCGCTAACAAATTAGTGTTTGTCGTTTACCCAGTTACATCAACATCATCCACAGTCGGTAATTCGAAACTTTTCTGGCGTGTTGACACCCCTCCATGCCATGACAAGAATTTTCACGTGCTGTATTTCTCTGTCTCTCTTTTCAATAATCTTTCCTATGTTCAGTTTTTCTCTTCTCATAACCTGATCGCCTCCCCCCACCCCCCCCCCCCCCCCCCCCCCCCGCCCCCTAAAAAAAAGGATGGCTACCTCTCTCTGATGTTTGTGATTTGTTGTCTTTGAGCATTGTTGTGTCGGAGATGTCGCAACGCGCTACAAAAACATGAGCTTGCTTCGTCGTTTATGCACTTACGAAATAAGTAACTTATGTCATATGCTAATCATTAAAGTACATGTGTAGGGAAAAAAACTTGCGGATAAACAATTGCATAAACGCGTCAAAGGTCTGTTATAACTCACAATTCACGTCAGTACTGTCAGGTTAGTTGCGTATACTTTATAAGACGTTGCAGAATCAACCTCAACAGCCCCTGGCTGTTGTGCGGTTTTTCTAGGCAAGTTTACGTCCAGTAGTTTGCCATTGCTACTGGACGGTCGGCTTTCTTGATACCACTGTCGAAACCAACGCAAAGTGCATGGCCCGCAGCTGGGATCGAACCTGGCACACCGGCATTACGAAGTGTTCGCATCGACTAAGCCACAGAGCCGATCTCGTCAGTACTGTTAACTATGTTTATTTCCTAACTATGAATAAACAAGAGCGGCGTCCGTGGCTTAGGCGTTGCAAGTCAGACTCCAGAATCACAACGTACCGCGATCGAAACCCACTGCTGGCTGTGTGGATTTTTATCATGGTATAGGGCGTCGCAGGTCGACCCAGCCTAAAATGGGTACCAGGATGGCTGTCAGGGGGAAGTAAAGACGACCGGCGTAATGCTGACCATATTACTCACCCAGTGTCGATTGGTTTGTAAAAATATGGGACGCTCTTTCCATATGCAGAATGCGCCTAAGGCGTAAAAAGGGGTCTTTACTTTTTTTTTTTTTTTTTTTACTTTTTATGAATAAACAAATAATGAAAGTAACAAAGACAACCCTTGATTAGATATAACTGGACAGCTAATATTATTTATGCATAGAACATTAACATCGAGATGAAAATAGTAACCCATGCTCACACATGGGCGCGCACACACATAAATCACGTTCACAAGATAAGTAATTACTGACGAGTTATTGATAATAAAATGACAGATAGTTGCATAAACATAGCTACTTTTTTTTTAAACCATAACTATAAACTTACTGAAGACAATAACCCAGGCAAATCCCTTGTCAGTCGGGACACCTTCATTGTCTTCCTCTGTCTCTTCTTCTGTTGCTGCAGCTTGTCCAGGCTTGTTATTGAGCAGGCTGTCCCCGACCTCGTAGGTCTTCTGGTCTTTCTCACGCAAGCCCATTCTTTTTAAAGTGCTGACTGAAAAAAAAACACACATACATTATACAATGTGCGTACTATATTCTTCTTCTTTGATGTTCGCTCTTAAATGGACGATTGGCAGTTTGTGTTGGGGTTTTAAGTGAGGCTACGACATCTGCACCTTACGCTCGGACATATCCGTTTGCAGCTTAACCACAATCAATAACTTTTACAACATGAGTGCACGATGGAAGTGGATCTATCTTTATTTTCCGTACCGAAATTGGGGGTATTGTAACCTACGCGAGTGGATGGGCTATAGAGATCGGACCGTTTTGTCATGCATGTGAGAACAAAAACAAACAAAAAACAAATGGGAGAAAACCATAGACTTGCTGCAGAGAAATAATTTTTGAGAAAGATGAGGATAATTTTATAGAATTACAGGCAGCCTTCATTGAGACGTATGACAACAATAAACCGATTTTAGAAATTAGACGCAGGCATTTTTTTAAACATTATTATGAGAGAAAATGGGTTTGAGAATAGGGGAGGGAGAAGGGAGGGAAGGGGAAAGGGGAGAGGAGGAATGAAATAGGAAAGGGAAGGGAAGGGGGGAAAGGCAGAGAGATACGTAAATACCTGGATGGTTCGGCCCCTATGGACGAAACCAGACAATAGGAAAGGCTAGATCCGCAATTCTGACAAAGCGTGTCAATATGATTATGTAAAATTCAAATGATGATGATGATAATAATAATGATGATAATGATGTCGATAACGGTAATGACGATGATGATTATGCCGATAATAGGAGTCCAGCATCATATGCCCGATATGTTACTGGAGTAAAAAAAGGCCATTTTCTCGGAACATGTAACAAACGCAGGCCCAGTTCCACCCATCTATACACTATGAGTGACGAAGTCGGGTCAGGCCACTGCGATTGGACGTTCATTCATGCGTGTTAACCTTTGAGACGCATGATTTTAAGTGGCAGGAATGTCAGGCTGGTACAAGTTTGTGTTGTCTCGACGGTCTTACCGGCGACCACTCACGCTCTATATTACACGATGTGAGCGGTTTTAACGACCCATAACATGTACAACTGACCCTAACCTCAACCCCCCTACCCACGCACCGAACCAAGATCCCGCGAGAGAGCGCATTCTACACCCCTCTTACGTAGACCAGCATGACCAATCGTCAATAACAGGTCAGCTAGTATTTAGCTTGGCGGAGTTGGGACTGAGTTCGTCACCAGTTCCATTTTCTTTTGACACATAATTTAGTGCCGCCGTAACAGCCTTACTGGTCCCCAGGCAAAAAAGCGTAAAAACCCACTAACTGAACACCATGTTTTATATTCTGCGGACGACACACATTGGCAAGACATCAAAGCTTTCAAAGGTTTGAACACAATATAGAATTCTCACTTATATAGCTTTAGAATCAGCTTGTGTATTTTCAATGAAAATATTTCTGTAATCTTAGCATATGCTAGTGAAAGTTCACTAAACACAGAAAAAAAAAGTTAAACGCATTCGAAAAGAAATGTCCGATAATGATGAATGAATGAATGAATGAATGAATGAATGAATGAATGAATGAATGAATGAATGGCATCGATGCACTCTGGACGTTCTCACACGTGCTCCTTCCCCTTCTTCAGTTGCTATACGAAGAGCCGAAATGCTAATAGTACTAGCTGCAACTTGATATAAAGTCTGCCTTAAGATCCTCCTTATTGTTAAATATTTTGAATATCTAACAAATGCATGAGGAAAATATTAAATATAAAAGAACTGTTTGAAACAAAACAAAAACATAAAATATAAAGATTCGACGAATTCAAATGGAGTGAAAAGAAAATAGAAGGAATATCTGGGCAACCACTAGTATCAATAGTTATAAGATGGAGAATAATTACTGACACACAGAACTCTGTATTCAGAAAGAGATGGTTCTGTCTTTACGACTGCCCTGGTAAAAACAGGCAATCATGTTTGATCGTTGTTAAAATTGTACTTCAGTTATAAAGGATTCACTTATTTGCTTTATTTATGTAATTGTTACTTTAGTATGCACCTGACAAGATACAGCGAAATATGCCATGCAATAAATTGTGCAATCTATTGTTTGTGTCTTCTTTGTTCAAACAGCGAGTCAGTAAACAGATACAGTACAGTCCATGCATGAAAACAAAACACACACAAAATCAACCACGTTCAACCTACTGAGAGCAGTTTTTAGTTAGGATCTGGGTTATCTTCACAGCACTCCGGACACGTCCATTGGAGCTCAGATTCCAGCTTTAGCATATACATCAGCGTCTCGCGGTTGATGGTTCCAGTCCTATGTTGGTTAACGAGATTTCTCGCGAATCCGGTGTGCTTCTCATGTCTGGTAGTGATAATATTTACTCCTAATTCTTGCACTCTTAACAAACATGTAGATATGCTGCTCTAAAAATCCTTAGAACGTCCTACATCTCTAATGACATTGTCAAAGTATGCATGATCCATGGGCTTGCCTTCTGTAACTAAGACAGAGCCAGCAAATCTGTAGGCTCTTTCATTGCCAACAACACCCGCATTCAATGGGACAGAGATGAAGGTAACTTTACACACAGTGGAGTTTAGCAAAGACTCGATTCACTGTCTGCGTACAAAGCCGGCCTCGACCCACCGGATATTGCTCTTGGAATCACTCAGCACACACAAGTACGAATAGCCCATCAATGCTAGCCACATGAAAGCTAGTTTTACCGCTCAGTTTAAGATAGCTTTTGCTCAGCCATTCATCCCTTTGTGACAGGAACTTCTCTACGCTGTCAGCAGTCACACTTCATAGCAGTCATTCGTCTGGCAGAATCGAGCCTTCACTAACCGATTCCATCTACTTTCTCACCTTCAATCCTTTATTCCCCTACCACGACTTTTCACAAGCAATAGTTCATCCGAACACTTGAATTTGAACGCCTCTCTTTTTCTCTTGTTTAACTGCCCCTTGACCCTAACTCGTTCATTTTGGAGAAACCTTTGGGATTTCCTGGGATTCTGCCTCACTACAATTCACAACACGTGATATAAAAAGAAAAAAAGAACCTTATACACATATATAGTTCAGGCACTAGTATTAGGTGACGACCCTTTCTGTCGCAGACAGGCATTTGGTGCTTTATTAATATCTTACCCCAAACATGGGAAATTCACAGATCACTGTACAGTATAATATTTCAAGGGGTAGAAAGGCTGCATGCAGTCGTGGGACCTAGGCTGCCCTCTCTTGTTGGACGTAGGCAGGTTGGGGTTAGAGCCAGTTCTAGATGTGTTGAGGTCGTTCAAAGCATCAGAAAGCCGGAAAATCTAGTCTTACTACCCTTTAAAATGTTAGACTCTCCTGTGACGTTATCTGGGGTAGGATTTTGTTAAAGCACCAGGCATTTTAACTCGTCCTGTGTCAAGAAATGTTGGCGTCTGTTGCTTAGGTTTTGCAAACGCACTTCGCAATGCCGGGGTGCAGGGTTCCATCCCAACTGGGGACGATTTGTCTGGCTTTTGTTTCGACAGTGGTACAGGGAGCTGACCATCCAGACAGCAGTGGCAAACTACTGAACGTAAAATTTACACAGAAGAGCAGGAACAGCCAAACAATGCAGAAGTTCGTTCTGCAGCCTTTTGTAACAGATACACAACTAAATTATTCTAAGAAATGGTGAATATAACGAAAGATTTTGAGATCCTATTTGATCAGCAAATTAACACAGTGAGACGAGAAGTTACAGCAACAGCTGCAAAAGATCGGATTACTGTAGACACTTCATGGGGTGCAAAGAGTTGAGGAATGTATACCATAAAAAATGAAACCAGAGCCTAGATCGGTGCCGAATGATTTAAAATTTCACCCACGATGGGCTGCAGGTTTGCTCAATAACGTTAGGGGTAGAGCTGTTTGTAACTAACGTTGAGCAGTAACGGGATCTTTTGTAAGGGCACTATTTTGTTTTTAGCGGTACTGTAACAGACAGTTTTTGATGAGTTAAATTTAGTTGCATATTCTTTACAGGACGTTGCAGAACCAACTGCACCATTTTGTTTTTGTCTGTTGTGTTTTTTCTAGACAGATTGTAGTTCAGTAGTTTGCCATTGCTTTTGATGAGTGCCCATGTCTACTGGAGACAGGTAGTGGTCTGTACCAGCCCCTTATTGACTAAAAGGGGGGGGGAGGGAGGGGGATTGCAATGCGTAGGGATGTCATAATATACTTGTGCTTTGTGGTAAAACAGGGATTTTAAGATTTGCCCCTGTTGTGTTCTCATCCTTGATGTAGTAATCATATGGTCAGCAATCCTGGAGCGAAACAATGACTACGACCATCAATACCCATTCAAACTAGGTCCTTCGAACATTCCTGACACGGTAATCAACAGCTCACCACTTGATGGTCAACTGATGTATGACAAGCTAGATGTTGTGAGGGCGCTTTAGGAACGAGTGAACAGTGCTATGGGGCAGATAGATTATTACGTCTGAGGAGTAAGGCGCTGCGAGGAATTAACAGGGGATCTGGCAGTCGCTCAACACTCAAGGAAAAGGCGAGACGGATACACAATCAGAAGGTTAATGGTACCATCGGAATTGTCACTCTTCGATTGCTGTTGAAGAGGGAGACGGAGGGCTAATGTTAGTGTCCTGAGTGCTATGCTGTCGTCTCTTAAGTCAACATTCAAAATTGTTGTAATGATCAGTTGAAATCGAACTGCTATCTCCAATGAATTAATCAAGTTACATAAAGTGTATTGATCAGCACTCATAGCAAGAAGTAGAAAGATAGAAGAACACACTAGACAACATACAAATCGAAAGCTATAGTTACCGTGTCGGGAGTTGAATCTGTCACCTCCAGACGGCGTCTGCGCCTCGACATGGATACAAGTGCACTAAGAACATGGTCAGCTAGACACTAGTTTATTTATTTATTTCCAATGAACAGTGTTATTTTTACCAAGTTGGATAAATTCTAAAGCACCGATATTAT